CTCCAACGCCTACAAATTACTTGTCTCTGTCATCCTACACAGACTGACTGGCGCTCGTGAAAGTCAGATTCGTGAGAACCAAGCCGGGTTGCATCGAGATCGTGCCTGCATCGACCACATCTTCACTTTCCGTCAGCTGTTGGAGCACCGTCACACATATTGGCGGCCCACCGTTGTCGTGTTCCTTGACATCAAAGGAGCCTTCGATTTACTTGATGGATGTGCCCTTTGGGACTGTCTACTCATCATCAGTACAAGTTAGCTGAGGGTGAAAAACACAGCTAATGAGCCGCAATACAAAACGACTAAAAAAGTACACTACAGATTATACAAACTACACTAAAAAAATATATTATAACTCTACCCAGGATAGGAATGCCGAGAAAAATGCAAATATCACCAGTGCACTAAAGACTCGTAATTCGAGCAGACTGAGGGCTTACGACAAGCTGTCGCCGCTCATCAATATCTCCAGCAGTGTGAGACAAAGTTGCCCGCTGTCACCTTTCCTTTTCAGCTTCGCTATTGAAATCGCATTCACAGGACGAGTTAGGAGTGGGGCTGCTTTCAGGAGAAGGACTTCTTGACTTCGAGTAGGTGGACGATATTGCCCTCATCCGTGACAGTTCCCAGAAGTGCCAAGCAGCACTGCACAGATTAGCACTGGCTGTCAGCCGCTTCCAGCTTTGCTTTGCACCGTTGAAGTGCAAAGCTTTCCTTCAAGAATTGGCATGAACCGCCTCCTGCGCTGACCGTTGGTGGGTATAAGCTAGAAGTCAATCAGAAATTCAACTATTTGGTAAGTTGTATCAGCGCTCTTGGGATCGAAGATGAGATCAGGAACCGTATAGCAAAAGCTCAATCCGGATGCATGAACCGGAGCTGTGTCCAGAAGCCAGTTAAAGGATTGGGACTAACCTGGCGCAAACGGCTGGTGACCTCTGACCCGCGAGGTCACACGCGATCGATTGACGTGACTTAACAGACAACCCTGTCAGCATCCAATTAACTCACTCGAGGAGTGACGACTTGCAATGTCTCTCAGCACATGCACTACATGACGCCTTCGGCAAAATCCCTTATAAGACCACGCTGTCCCGTTTCCATGGCGACATTCAACGTCCGCACTCTAAGACAAACAGGTCAGCAGGCTGCACTCGCACGCACCTTGGACACACTGGGTGTTGATGTGTGTTGTGTGTCCGAAACTAGGATTAATGACCCTAACGGGGTTATTGAATTGACTGCACCCGGCTTATCCTCTCGTTATTGGTTGCACGCATCCGGAGACGCCGATGCGGCACTCACCGGTCAAGCTGGTGTAGGTATCATTCTCAGCTCCAAGGCTGAGTCATCGTTGGTTGATTGGATTCCGGTGAACAGTCGTTTATGTGCAGCCCGTTTGACGACATCAGCTAAGGTGAATTCGCGAAGTAAAACAAAACGCTGTTTGTTTGTGATTTCTGCTTATGCTCCCACCGACTGCAGTTCTAATGCAGTCAAGGACACTTTCTATCACGAACTGAACACGCTGCTACGCAGTGCTACTTGTTCAGATATTATAGTACTTGCAGGGGATATGAACGCACAAGTAGGGCGTCTGAGCTCTTCAGAAGCTCAGCTGGGTGGTAAGTATGGACTTAACGCCGAACGGACTGACAACGGCGAGCGTCTGCTGCAACTGTGTGCGGAGCACCAGTTGTTTCTTACTAGCACTGCTTTTAGACACAGTGGGCGCCGAAGTGCCACTTGGCGTCCACCTGTAGCTGGTCAGCGATGGACCCAAATTGACCACATAGCCATAAGTTACAGGTGGCGCGGGTCCATTCTGGATTGCCGCTCGTACTGGAGTACCTGTGTCGACTCTGACCATGCCTTGGTGCGCTGTCGTTTCTCCATGAACTTTACCGGAAGGCGCACAAAGCCTCTCCCCCGATTGGCAACGGAGAAATTGTCCCAGTCCTCTGTCAGGCAAGCCTATCAAGAAGCACTGCATAGCGAACTCTCGCTGTCTTGTCCTAATGATACTGAACTTCAGTGGAATAAGATCTCGGCCACTATGCACGACGCAGGAGCATCTGCTTGTGGCACTATCAGTCGTCATCGCACCAGTCACTGGATATCCGAGAGGTCCGTGAACCTTTTGGAAGCTAGAAGGCACCTCCCGGCTGGTTCTGAACACAATGTGACCAGACGGGCTATTAGGCGTGAACTAAAGCGGAGCCTACGTGCTGACAAGGAAGCCTGGTGGACCAGTCGGGCTCAAGAAATGGAGGAGGCAGGAGCAGTAGGCAATTACCGGAAGCTCTTCCAGCTAATACGCACCACTGGTCCGAGAAAACCAGGCGTCAGTGAGACAATCAGGGACAGCGCGGGTGCGCTGATACACAATAAGCAGCGCCGTATGGCTCGTTGGGCTGAGCACTTTGAACATCAGTTCAGCTGGCCCCCTGCTCCCGGACCTCTTCCTACTCAGGTGATGCAGGACGAGCCATGGACGGTTAGTTTAGAGCCTCCGTCGGAGGCCGAAGTCCGAAACGCAATCACAGCCCTTAATCGTTTTCGTGCGGATTCCCTACCACCTGCACTATTTAAGGATGGTGGTGAGGTCCTCTGCAAAGCACTGACCTCCCTATTCGAACGTATCTGGAACGAAGAGAGTGTGCCGACTAATTGGAGCGAATCGATTATAGTGGCAATATACAAGAAGGGCAGTCGCACAGACTGTGAGAACCACAGGGGTATTAGCCTAACGCCAGTTGTGACAAAATTACTGGCCTCGATTATCGTTCGTCGCCTCACTGCAGAACGGGAATCTTGGATTAGAGAAGAGCAGGCCGGTTTTCGCCCAGGACGTGGCTGTATAGACCATATATTTACTTTGCGGCAGGTGCTAGAGCAGCGCCACGCATACCGCAGACCGACAATAGCTGTGTTCCTCGATTTCAAGAGTGCGTTCGATTCTTGATCGATCGATTCTGTTCGAAATACTTGCGCGAAAGGGTGTTCCCACGAAATATGTGAACATCCTTCGTGCTCTATACTCGAACACTAGAGGCCGCGTCAGGGTCTATGGTGCCCTATCGGATAGCTTTTCGACTACAAGTGGCGTTCGACAGGGTTGCCCGATTTCCCCATTTTTGTTCAATTTCGTCGTGGATTCTATCATGGAGTGTTCCCTTGCGGAATCTCACGATGTAGGTGTTGAAGTGCTGCCTGGTGAAAGGTTAGTTGATCTAGATTATGCGGACGATATCGTCTTGCTTTTCGACAATGTTGAGGCGGCACAATCAACCCTGAATAGCCTATCCAGAGTGGTTCCATTATTTGGTATGCACTTCGCACCTTCAAGTGCAAAGTGTTGCTGCAGGACCACCAGTCAATTGATGAACCCTTGATGCTTGCTAACGAGGAACTCGAGGTGGTTGTTCAGTTCACTTATCTTCGCAGCTGTATCAGCAACGATGGACGCATCGCAACTGACGTAGCACGCATTGCAAGGGTCCGCAACGATGATGTGCGTAGGCGAGTACTAGGGGGTGATGATCATGCTAGCTCCCTAGAACAACAGATAGCACTGAATAAGTTACGTTGGCTCGGGCACGTGCTACGCATGCCTGGTCACCGCTTACCTAGGGGGCCTTGTTCAGTCTACCGGGCGGATGGCACAAGGCTCGAGGTGGACAGAAGTTGACTTGGCAGCGGGAAATGAAGTCACTGACGACCAAACTGGGTGCCGTTGGTCCGTCTGGCCTTCCGGGTTGGAGTCCACGTGACTCACCTTGTGCTTGGCTCGAGACTTTACAGGACATGGCTCGCAACCGACACCAGTGGCGCGTCTGCTGCCGTCTCCTAATCATTTTGATCTGAATACAATCGGACAAACCCGACGAAGTATTATCGAAAACGTATGTTGGCTTACCCAGATTTCTGATCGCACTATATTTTTTAGACCACCTATGCGCCGGCGCGACATCACTCTCGCGGTAGGTTCGATCTGACTGCACGGTTGTTAAACCTGGCCCCTTAGATAGCTAGTTACGTTCGAGCACCGGTGCTCTCGCAGTTTGGCTCACATCTGATGGGAACACCGCGTGAACAACGAGCGTGTTCGACGCCTAGTTTACGGTACATGAAAAGGAAATGAATCGCTCAGCACCATTATTTCACGCACCAGACTCCGATGGCTCAGCCAGGTGTTACGCAATGGCTCCCGGGACAGGGGTTGTTTTCGCGCAGGGGGTGTGGAAGGAAGAGGTGAGGTGGACAAGCAATGACTGATGTGGTAGTCACGTGAAGTAAGCAATGGATAGGAAGAGAAGTCGAAGGTACAGAATAAAGAAATGCACTTGGAATAAGAAAATAATACCGGATATATAGCGCACGAGATCTTGCTGTTATCTGTGAAATTCTCACCTACTGCGACATTCCCCTTCGCTATAACATGCACCATCCCCACACTGATCTGGAAGTGATAAAGCTGACAATGGTTATCCCATCAATTTTCTAATATTCAATGTACTGTAGAAAATGCAATGGACCAGCATAAAAAATCAAAAAAAAACAAAATCAAACATAAGTGTGGGGCAAATAAACATACCTGCTGCAAACCTCTGAAGACTGACAGGAACTTACGTGGTATGCCGAAGGTAGTTGGACCCTGCATAGGAAGAGCGCACGACTTCAGTTGGGTGTGTCAAAATTTTAAAGTGAGCGCCGAGATGACAACTGAAAAATTTCGTATCACAAATTAAATTTGCAAGTGTATCGTATAGAAATAAAAGAGCTTTACGAAATTTGAAGTTTTATTTTAATTCATTAAAACAAAATAAATACATGTGTTGCATTAGTAGATGGTTACTATAAATCGGTACCCTAGTTTTTTCTCTATAAGTTTCTCGCATTCAAATTTTTACGTTATTTTCTTTGGTGCCGGCCATTCCACAAACTGCTGTCGCTTTAATTTCACATAAGCGCACTCGCGTTGTCTATCACACTCGGCCTACTGCCAATCAATAGGCCCATCGCCTGTCTGTATCTCTTCTACCGGCACGCGCGCTGCTGCGCCCGAGATCCGCCTGTCTGTCCGTCCCGTCTATGGGTGAAATTTTCACCGCTATCGCATTATACCGCGTCTTCGTTGAATAATTCACAGCAGTTTCAACGCTTTTCAGCAGTTCCTTTGTTAAGATTTTCGACATCCAGTGGTGCTCCCATTCTTCTGCTTTGAGCATTACTTCCATTTCCGAATACCAGTTGTTAGTTGGATCATACAATAATGCGTGCAACACTCCTCGACTTAGCCGTCTCGCGTGCCGAAGCTTCGCCTTGACCCGTTGTGTGTCTGTGTGCCGCTTGTCGCTGGACTGCGGCAGCTCAGCTGATCGTGAGTGCCCTGTCTGGATTACCGACACGTGCAAGGTCAGAGGCGATGTCAAAGCTAAAGTACCGGCCTTACACCAACGACCCCCTCTGCTTGGCTCTGGTAACGAAATCAAACGCCCAGTTTTTGGCTGATATTCAACGCCTTTTCCGTCATAAGAGGTAAGTTACCGCCTTAGGTATATCGAATCTGTTAGCAGGCCTACGTGCAGTTTCCTGCCACCTTGTCTTTCTGGTCGTCCGGTCGACTTACGGGCTCTGTACAATGAAGTTGCAATACGGGGTGGACACAAGCACGTCACCGCCTCTCGCGGATGGTCGGAGGTGTATGCGGCTCTCGGGCTACCTCAGGGGTGTGTCGAGTCTGGTCATGGCCTGAGAACAATTTATCAACGTTACCTAGAATCGTTCGAGCGTAATCAACGGATGGCTTCCAAAATCTTTGTGTCCGACGACCTTGAATCATCTTGCCTTGATGCTGACTCTCAGGTAACTAATATCATTACAATTATCAATTTACTAGGATGCGGACACTTACTCACGACATGTAAAGTCTACCGGATTGGACATCCTAACCTGCGATGAGATACCAAATCACTTACGTGAAACTTGGAGTTTGAGTACGGATGTGCTTGATCACGTTGAATGCCAAAGTCTGGAGAACTCTTTGCGGTCACGCTTGCCCAATGAGCTCGATTTCGCCTTAAACTCCATGCTGCTTATGTCATCTCAACCCAATGGGTTCGCCCTCCACAGAAATTACCGCCTCTTGTCACTAGTACTCAGTTCTGTTGGTGTTTCCGAGTCAACACCGCACTGTGCGCAGGCATTGGAATTCCATTCGTACAAACGGTTCGCCAATGTAAGACCATTCGTATGCACAATTTTAACGAACAATTCTTTTTCCAGTTTTGGAATGCGAATGTACTCGATGCGCATGGCCGGCTATTCCTCTCCCCGGGTGTCTTTTGTCACGGTGAGTGCATTATTTGGTCACAGTCACGGTTGTTCTCATCGAGCTCTTTCGATGTGTTTACGCCGCCCAGTAATTATGCTTGATTCTATTTATGAGTACTGGTTACAACTTCACAATTTAACCGCTTCCCTGGAACATTAATCTTTTCCCAATTACTCACGCCTGTAGCCCTTCGTCTGACAAATTCTTTAGATGCTTTCAAATTCGCACTTAGTTGGGGTCATTGAAGAGTGACAAAAGTCGAATCAATATCTATCTGTTGTGTAAATCGCACAGGTTTCCACCCCCTTTTTATCACTGCAGTCGTCCATTTGTTGTGTTCATTGGTGTGTCCGTCAGACTCGGTAGCGCAGGTTGGCATTTGAAATCTTGATTGGTTCTCCGATCTGAACCTTTTGATTGCAGCGACGCGCCGTTACGGCGTACAGCTGACACATTTTTTATTATTTTATTTGAGGAATCCACCTCGATTAGTCGCGCAACGTTGGCTATCAAATTGTTCTGTAGTGACCTGGAGATTCCCCGTTTGACTGTATGGATTATTATAAAATATTCTAGACATAGTTTTCTTATGTATTAGGGTGCTAATCAGTTTGCCTGCTTGAATGTTGCTCCCGTTTGCCTGTCACTCGCATCCGATCTCCGACCAAACGGACGCGACTTGCGACTCTCGCCCGTCCTCACAGTCAGCATCCGTTTACAACTTCCCTAGCTAGCTCTTCACTGGTACCCGCTTTCTAGCTTTAGCTGCGTCTCAATAAATCATTTTTAGTGTATTTTCGTTTTACTCCTACAGCGCGTTGGTCTAACGCTATATCCGATACTCAGATTTAATGACCAACCAAAGGTGTGCGGCAATACACACTGAAATAGGCTAGAAAATCTTTATTAGAAGGTTGCTACATCTTAAAACTAAAAATTAGACACCGGAAGATGACTATCTAGGGAGTATGTGGTAAGGTGTCGAGTGCGATCGGAGAACCGACGTTCGTTTCGAAGTTCGCGGACAAAGTCCGGATGTTGTCAGTGTGTCACACACAAACACGTGCACCAAACAAACATGCAAGCCACTTACTTCCCTAAGACATGAGGATACTATGATTTCATAGTATTTAGGATTGATTTACTCATCAATCGGGGGGATCTCGAGGTCACTACACAGCCCCCCTCCTAGAAAGGAAACCGTGGGTGGCCCTTCGATCTACGTGAGGACCGTCCGTCGCCAGCCAGCCTTCTGCGGACCAAGTGGTGAGACCTGATGCAGCTGCTGGGGGAGCACTAGTGCGATCGGACCCTAGCGGGCTCCCACCCGTGTCCTCCCTAAAGGTGCCAAAAACAAAATGAAGGAAAGTTCGTGAAAGTCAAATGTTTGTAAACTCGTGAACGTCAAATTTTCGCTTGTGAACGCCAATTATTCGCTTTCAGCTCGTATCCCCCGGTTCACACATGAAACGAAAACAAAAATATGTATCGTGACCATGGTGGCGAGCAAAAAGGAAAATGTCACTTACCGAATGACGGAGCACCGACAAAAATATTTTTTGGGGTTTTCAAAACGTTTTGAACCCCTTTGTGGTTTTTGTACCGGGTTGGCCAGAAAGATAAGGAAAGCGGGAAAAGAGAAGCGGAAGGAGAGCTGAACGCGCTGGCCAGTGAACTCGCCTACCTAACCTAGTCGACTTCTGCGGTTCGGGTGCCGATGTTGTCGACTTAGGCGGTATGTCTTATCACGTGGCTGGGGGAGTGGATAATGATTTGCCGCCCGGTTTGGTGGAAATCGATGGAGCCGATGTAGAAGACTCAGATGCATTGTTTTCCTTGGAGTCAGTAGCGTTAGGAGAAGGCGTATCTTCCCTCATAGGCTGTGTTGATTCGTCGGAAGATGAGCAGACATCGTCGTAGACCTCAGGTTCCATATGGGCAACTTTGAGGCGGTCAATGGTAATGGCTTCACGCTTGCCGTATCGGTCGATGATATGTACACAGTCTTTACGTTGTAGAACCTTGAAAGGACCTCCATAAGGTCGCTCAAGG